GCCGCCGCGCCGCTTCCGCCCGGAGCTCTATGGCGGCACCATAGAGAGGGCGGGCCGGGGGAGGGCGCCCCTGGCGGGCTGGGGGCTGCGGGGCTCCCCCGCCGCGCAGGACCCGGGGCCAAGGGTCGGGGCGAAGCCCGTCGCCAGCGCCGGCCTGCGAGCCTGATGCCAAGAAATGGGCCAAAATTATCTCGTTTTACTTCCCCCCACCTTTCCTCATCCCTTCGCTCTGGTTTAGCAGGTGGCCTAACCCCCCGCCCCAGCAAGCTGCAGCCGCTGGCGCGATCCAGGGCTCTTCGGTGCTGCCGCAATGACCCGAAGGCTGCTGGAGGGACCACGGGTGGCTTCATCTGCCCCGGATCTCAGGATGGATCGGATCCGAAGCGAAGACAGGAACCGTGTTTTGCCCACTTCCCATTGCTGCCGCAAACGTGATGATGCACCAAGGACAGCGGCATCGCTGCCCTTCCTTGGGGGGCAGCTCTCAGCTCCCTCCACGGGGAAGGAGGCTGCGTCGGTCCCATGGCTGCTGCACCCACAGCAGTGACGCTGCTCGTGCGTCGCTGCGGCCGGAGCGGAGCACAGAGCCAGGCCATCTGCACAGGGGAAAAAAAAGATAGCAGACCTCCTGTGCCAGCACAGCGCAGCCCAAATAAAGGGTTTGCAGATGCTGCTCAGGCAGGATTAGGCCTCCAACGTGCTAAGTCTCGGCTCTCGCGGAGCGTAATTGCTGCTGCAATAAGCCCTGGCTCGTCCTTTCCTGAACCGGTCTCCCCACACGCTCCCAGCTCGCAGAGTTTTCTGCTTGTGTTTGCCATGTTTTCCTGACCAGCGCGAGGGCAGAGAAAGGCAGGAAATCTGCAGGTGCCACTTCTTTAGCTCTGCTTTCGCCTCGGCAAACTCCCAGCCACTCTTTACCTCATGCAGAGCCTAATGTGCGTTTGTGCACGAGGAGCCCGGCCATGAAGGCAGGGACAGGTAGCAGCATCACTACGTGGCCATGCACGTACTGAGTGGTATTAGGAACTTTTCCAAATTGGGATTACTCAGATTTTAATAAAACCTTTTTTTTTCCCCTGAGCGGTTTCCCCGCTATGTTTTGGCCAGCAGATGAAACTGGAGGGGGTCCAGGTTGGCTGTCAGAGCACACACATGTGCCAGCTCGGCCCGGGAGCGATGCAGACAGGGACACGCCGGCAGGTGGGTGGTCACGGTGGCCTCCCCAGGCTCCGGGTCAGCAAAACCTCCCCTGCTGCATCCACCTAGCCCCAGTGAGCAGCCTTAAACATGCCCTTGAATTGTACAAAGGAGCTTTTCCGGGAGCCCTGGGGGAAGAGAACAACGTTCTGCCAGTGACTGCCCCAGCTGCTCTGTTCAGGAGTGTTTCCAAACCTGTCAGTGGTAGCTCGGACCTTTAAAGTGGCTCAGATCAGTCACTTTCTGGCAGGTGGAGGCCACTGAGTGGACCTGAGGATGCACAAGGGCTTTGCTTTGCCCTCCGAGCAGGCAGAGGGAAACAGCAGATGATCTGCCCAGAGCCAGGGGAAAATAATAACAATAAAAATAATCACTGCAGAGCGTGAAAACCAAAGATACACCACAGTTTTATTGACGGGCGCGTAATAAATAAGTGATGGACAAAACAGGGAGAGCCACATTCAGGAAAAAAAAAATAAAACAAACCCAGATCACTAAAGTGCTTTTAGACATAAATAAGACCACCAAGGAATGGCTCGGACATTACATTTTTTTTACAAACACGTAACAAAATATTATCCTATGTCGGTTCACAAAGTCACTTAGTTGATCCCGGGTGCTATGGCTTGCTTTACAATAAAAGGTCAGTTCTCTTATGCATAGTATGTCAGAAAACATTCAGGCGTGTACAAAAAAATCATTGCATAAATAGAAATGTCCTTCCCTCTTCCCCCAGGCGCGAGTTAAGGGAGCTACACAGTGTAAATCCAGTGGTAAGGCTGTAGTGGAGGCTGGATCCTCGGCAGACACGAACCGACACGTCCGTCAGCTTCTACCCGCTGGAGGGCGGACTCTGCCGTGTTTAAAACCCTTTTGCTCCCTGGGGTGGGAGAGTCGCACGCCAGGAGCACAGGGAGCTGCCCTGGGGGTGCTGGATGTGCTTGGAGAAGGTGCCCACCCTTTGCACCCGCTCCCATCACGTCGCCGCTCTCAGCGTGGCCGGCTGGGAAGCGCTCGCATCCCAGCGGGAGGAAGGGAGAGGGAAGCTCTTTCCAAGAGCCTGTCCGTGGTCCTGTTTTCGCACCACTTCTCGGGCCACATGCAGCCTCCCCTCACACTCTCCCTGGCTGCATCTCGGCTCTGCTGAGAAGTGAAGGGATGGAGTAGGGGGCAGTTTGAGAATGCCCTGAATCCTGATAAAAGTTCAGTCATTTGATGAAAAATATATATATAAAATCAGTAAGTATTCTCATCTTCCCTGGGAGCTGGGAGGCCTTGGCTCCCCGGGGGCAGTCCAGGCTCAGTGGTCCCCATCCTCCAGCTCTGCGGGGGGGTCTCTGTTGAGGCCCGGCCTCAGCACCACGTTCCCCTTCTCCTGCTTGGCCGTCCTGGAGAGGTCGATGGCCGCGTCCTCCGGAGCGTCCGCCGGGCTGCCGAGCGCGTCGCGGCCCCTCGGGGAAGCGGCCGCCTTCCCTTGGCGCTCCTCCCCGGGCCGCGGCTCTTGCCAGCCTCCCTCCGTCGGCTTCTCTTGGCTCTCGGCCTTGCGAGTCACCTCCATGGACTTCTTGTGCATGCCTTGCGCGGGGCAGGAGGAGAGCAGAGGGCACCACCTCAGCACCTTGGGAGCTCCAGGCCATCCCCACCCGTCCCTGTCCCTAGGCCACCAGCTCACCCAGCAGCCACGGGGCGCAGGATCCCACCAGGCCGCTCTTGGCTGAGTTGATGATGGACTCGGGCAAAGGGATGGAGTGCCTCACCATGGCCCCGTAGAGGCCGTACTCGGCCATCACGCTGCTCCGGCCCCAGCACTTCTCCCTCTTGCGCCACTTGGCTCTTCGGTTCTGAAACCAAACCTTCAGGGGTAACGCCAGGAGAGCACAGAGGGGGGGGAGAGGTGGAGGAGACGGCCCCCGCGGCCGGCACGCCAGGCCCGGCGCGCGCGCGAGGGGCGCGTGTCCAGGCCGGGGGCGGGAAGGGGGCACCAGGGCAGTGCGTGAGGAGAGGGGGTCGGGAAGGGCACACACGTGGGTGTTAGAGGGGAAGGAGGAGAGGGGAAGGGGAGCACACATTACACGAGGCTGCTCACGGTATGAGAAGGTCCTCCCAGCCACGGGCACTGTGAGGGGGCCCCTCTGCTGTGCTCGCTCCCAGGGCCCCTTCGTGGGGTCACCTGCATCTCCTGAGCACAGGAGGTCAGCCTACACTTCCTAATCCTGGAGCCCTCCTACATCTCCCAAGTCTGGGGGACCACCAAGCAGGTGCTGATGCTCAGTGCTCCTCTGCCCACCTTCCTGCCAACACTCCCGATCCATCCTGGGAGCTGCTCCACAAGGCAGGCTTGGGACCTCCAAGGCCACGGAGCCCTCCAAGGGGGTGTGAGGGAGACAGCTCTGCAGCTCCCACTGCTGCCGGCTCCCGAGGAGTTGAAGCTGAGCTGCTCCTGGGCTTGGGGCAGGGCAGAAGGAGCTCCCCCTCGGGCAGTCTGTGGGTGCGTGGCGGGGGTCCTCAG